CCCAGGGAGCCGCTCCCACGTGGCCGACCAGAGCTACGGCCTGAGCGACGGGCTGGGCACACGCGTTCTCCTCTCTCATCCTGCTCCCCCTCTGACATTAAAACACGGGGAGAGGGCATATTACGTCTGGGATACCGCGTCCACTAAGGCAAAAGTGAAAGGCATAAAAACGAATTTGAAGAAGCGAAGTAGACTTTCAATGCTAACTAAATACCGGATACCTTCCAATGGCATGAACTGCAGTCATCTGTGTGGCAAACCCAGAAGACTCTCCGTGCCAGCCCTGCGTGGGGGCACTGATGCAGGAGGGTGAGGAGAGGTGCCAGGTGACCGGGCGCGAGCAGAGTGGGCAGAGCCAGCCTTTAGAGCCTCAGCAATCTGGCTCCGGAGTCCTCAGGCCACGTGAAGGCTGGCTGCACTAGCCACATTCAGCTCGTCTCTGTCCATCGCCCTGACGCCTTAGGCCAAAGGCCCAGTTACAGGGCTCCGAATAAACATGCTCATTCAACTTCATTATTTTACATGCTATTTTAATGGCTAAAACAGTCTTCATGAAGTCCTGTAATAACAGCTATTTGAAATGTAAACGTTTTTACGAAGTCTTCCTCAGCTGCCACCTACCCCAAAGACCTGCACAGTGTCAGCCTTTTGGACATGCAAAGTCTCAGAGGACCCTGGGATGGGAAGTCCCATGTTTGTTTTAATGTTCTGTTTTTGCTCTCTTAAAATTCATAATTACTTTTTTAAAAGAATGATTTTTTAGGGGCCATCAGGTTGCACAGTGATTATGGCACTGGACTCCCACGTAGCCGACCACAATACTAGTCCCACATCCACAGCTTGAAAATCATGCCAGGTGCAAATTCCAGGGAAAAAAATGGAGGAGAAGGGATTGCAGCATGGCCATCCTCTCTGGGGGAGTGATTTCTCACTTTTCCTCTTTCTGTCTGTCTCTCTGTCTCTCTGGTGAGCACACATACCCTATGGTAAAAACCTCTTAAAAAATAAAAAAAAGGCTTAAAAGAACTATTTGCTTAATTAAATTCATTTATTTTTAAATTTGCCATAGGACTCGTATGCTTACCAGAATGATGCAGAGAAAGAGAGAAGGAAAGTAATTAAGCAAGGCACCAGGTCCAGGACTCAAACCACAGTTGGCCATGTGAGAGTCCAGTGTCTTAACCATCCTGTCACCTATTGGTCCCAAAATTCATAATTACTTTTTAAACAAAGAGTCTTGAATGTTCATTTTGCAATGAGTATCATGAATTCTGAAGTTGGTCTTGGCCCTGAATTGCAAAGAAATCCTGAAAACGAGACACAGGATGTTTTTCCTCTCTAGTTCACACCAACTCCATCATGCTATCACACTTATCCAATAAATATGTGAGTAAAACTTTACTCATTACAGAGATGGACTTAAACTGTTCCAAACAAGGGAAATTAGAATGTTACTGTCGTTCTTACCTAATAGACGCAGGTGAAGTTATTTGTCTCAGCCTGAGCAGTGAGGGTAAAGAACAGAGATGACAAACATACGTGCATGTTGAGGGTAAGTAAAGACAAGCAAGTACAGATAGTACCTAGTAGCAGGAGGGAGGCGTCAGTTCAGAAATGGACGAGTTTTCGTAAGATTAGCCTCAAAGGTCTAAGCAGTAAGCACAGCACTTAAGACATAGAACCATTGAAATGCAAGTGCCTTAAGGAAAGGAAACGGTTTTGTGGCTTATTGTCTGCATAGACATAGCTAAAGAGTATATGCATTGGAAGGGATATTTCCCCGCCATGGAAGTTCGGAAGAAAGAAACTCAGGAAGGCAAGCACTAACCAAGAATATCCGATGGCCATGTGCTCCTGGGAAAGGGGTGTTTGGTAATGAGATTTTGAGGGTTTCTGCATGAGCAGATGAATGGGGCTGGAAACAACCAACGGAAGGGTGAGACATTTCAGTGCGATGCTGCCAGTATGTGACACGTGTAACACGATATTCCAGGGTTCCACGGTCAACGCGCCATCTTCAGCTATGAGGTTACGGGAACACAGAGTCGTTCCAGATCTTAAGACTCTAATGCATCACAGTCAGTCCGTAGTGTTTTCTCGTTATGTTCTGGTTTTCCATGTGGATTAGAACAGGGTTGAATGGTACAGTACTCTGACCAGGTGACAGGTCTATGTCACAGAGTAATCTAGTAGGCTGGCGCTCTGGTGCAACCTTGGACTCTGCATTTTTGGAGCCATGCATGACCCTCTCAAGTCTTGGTCATCCTTAGTGGACACACCAAGTGCTGTCCTGACTCACGTCGGTGGTTTCCTCTGCTCTTCCATTTTTGGTAAACTGCATCTCTGTCTTTTTAATGTCGTGGTTTAAACATTCACTTATCAGAAAAGGGCTTACTGTCACCCCATCTAATATAAGTCCTGGTCTCTTATTTCGCCTTCTGTCACTTTTTTCTTTCAAAACACTTTATAGAATTTGACATTATTTTTATGCCTTAGCCTTGTGTGAGTGTGTGTGTGTGTGTGTGTGTGTGTGTGTGTGTGAGTGGCTGGTCTGTCTCCTGAATCAGGATTCAAGCTCCCTGAAGGTTAGAGACTGTCATTTCTGTTCAGTATTGTATTATCAGTGCTTCGTACAATGTCTGTCGTATATGGGGGCTATATAATAGAATAAGTAAATCATTACAATCACAGATCGTGTGCAGTCTGTCTTTTCCCAGTATATTTCACCAGCATTAAAATGGCCTGCATGGCTGTGGCTACTCCTAAGAGAAACGACACCTGTCATCTGTTGAGGCAGAGCCCAACTGTGCCTTGGCAGAGGGAGATGGGAAGTCTGGGCAACAGGTTCCCAGTGAAGAACCAAAGTCAAGCCAAGAGTAAGAGCGTATTTGAAGAAACCACTGACTCAGCGCGAACCAACACTGAGCTCTGAACAGCAGCCCTTACCAGAGATACTCAACACGAATCACCCCAGACTCATTATTTACCAGCTAAATTTTGACTCTACAGAAAACAACAGTGTGATATGCAAAAGGAAGAAGACCGTTTGTATGGATTTCTCCGTGGGGAAAACACCATGAGGTTGATAACAGGTACTTTAGGAGAAATAAGGAATGTATGTGATCATATGTGATCACATACAGAAGTATATGTGATCCTTAGGACGGCCCATCGCATTCCGGACATCAGCTACTGCCGGGCAAGAGGCAGGGGAGTAATCTGAAGAAGCAAACTGTTAGGGGTTTAAGGTGTCATTAATATTTTCCTTTTTTTTTTTTTTTTTTTTGATAATCGGTGTGGTTTACTGGAAATATTAGAAGCAGTTAGTGAGAGTTCCATACACCTGAATCTAAAATTGGATCTGTCACTTTCTTTTTTTTTCATCAATTGGACTGGGGAG